TTTTCGTTTGCAACAATAGATAATTTATTGGACGTGCCACCGACCTCATAAGTGCCGGTCTCAGCTTTGAAGAAGTGGTCCCAGTATATTTTCAAGGAATCTGGTTCCTCATCCGTAGCCATTCCCGCCGCCTCTCAACCTGCAAACAAAAATAAACAAACTAAAATACTTTCACACATTCTCAACATAAACATTATAACTGTTAAGTACTTTATTTGTTTACTGTGTTTTTTTAATTCCATTTCCTAAAAAAAAAAACCATAAAAACGGATAACAAATAAATGTTAACTGGTTATTGAAAAACAACATAAAGTTGCTCGTTAAAGTTGATGAATAGCATAACCACATACGTTACGAGAGTAACCGGTTATCTTAACTGTATTAAATGTTTCGGTACCTACTGATACAATGATAATGGTTTGCGCGCGAAAATTCAACAAACCCGTGATAAATTACTTGTTAAATTGTTGATTTTGTCTTTAACTTTTAATTAATTTCGTTTCCGCAATATATTTTTATAAAAAAATAGTAAAAAAATCATCCAGCAGTTCCGTCAAAGATCGTATCAGTAATATTAACTTATCTATTATTTGAACTCGCAGTTCGTCTTTACAAATAAACACTTCCTCAGGTATTGTTAGATAAGAGGGCTTGTGAGTATGTTAAAAGGGTTACATTAGACCATTCAACGGGAGCGAGAGAGAAAAAAATTACATAAAGCTTCTTCTCTTTTGCAAAACTCAAACGTTAGACCGACAGACGAATAGAATAACTATATCTGACAAATTAGTTACAACATGTTTTCTTGTCTTGGTTATTGTGAGATGTCTCTGCAAACATTGAAGACAATATATGCAAAATATGTCAGTATAATTAATTACGAAGAGATATTGCGGTAGAATATCATAATATAAGGAATATACACATCCAATATCATACAAAGCGCTCATCTCATTATCGCTACAAATATCCAGTCTAAGTACATATATTTCTCATTACGCTTAATAATGATTGTATCTCCGGGTCCCTAATTAGATCATTAATTTCAAGAAAGCAGGGACCACAATGTACCTTTGAGTCTCGGTGAAAGTTCCGCAAGTCGGAGACAGGGGTCCTATTGTCGCCTCATGCGCTGTCGCAACAGATACCCATTGAGCTGGACGATGGCATAGCACAGTGGTACAATTTATAAATAGCCCGAGAGGGACGAGCGCACTCCAGTCGTGGAGACGGAGGTGTACTATGCGATGTTACTCTGAGAAACCTTATCTGTGCGGTCATTATGTGACACGTATAGCTCGCGCCGCGACTGCTCTCGTATTATGAGATTTATTTTAAAGGTCCCGGGGTACATTAGTCATACAATGCAATATTGGCCAAAAATTTGTAATCGCTAGATCATATTATGCAGACACAAAGTGCAGTTTGCCAGTGTCGTAAGCCGTACGTGACTTAGGTCAGTTCTTTGCAAACACGCTTGCCCGCGATACACGCCACTCCTTCCTGCCGGCTACCAGCACGCAATGTGTACGCTAGATAACATTGTTTGCTCGCCAATTCGAATGAGACTTGTTTATAGCAATGCTCGCTGCTAGATTACCGTAGATAATACAAGGTAAAAACAAGGATAATTTAATTTACCATTTATTTTATTAATATGTAATACCCAGTTAATTATCAGCTTTATAGTTTTAAACCCGTATTCTGTTTATCATGCCAAATGAGACATAGAGACAAAAAGATCAAATTCGCGTATATGGACAGTTAATTGTGTGCGGAGAGCGAGGAGAGGGGGGCGGGGAAGGGGGCAGGATTGATAGCTTGGTATGTTTAACATTGTTATCGGGCGCGAGATAAAATGATGCTCGCGCGCAGTTAATTGTCAATGAACAACAACAAAACTGAACCCATTATCAGTAAACTAGGCAGCTTGCGACGGCTCTCGACCACAAGTGGACAAACACCACCCACATATACCTATGTACCGAACACTTGGAACAATGGATAATATAATTTACAAAACATAAACTGTACTGACTGTATCATAATCATCAACATCTTATTAGCTATGACACACCAGGGAAATATATAAATCTAGTCACATCTCTCTTTACAATCAATTACTTAATCTATTGAAAATGACAATGGCATAGAAATCATTGTATTATGCATGGAATACATTGCCTTTTTTCAACCAATTTTGTAAATAAACTAACTTCCTTAAAATTAAGTTTGCTATAATATAACTATAAACATAACAACAAAATTATGTGTAATCTGTGCTATTCACTCAACTATATTACTTGATTAAAAAGTTTTTGTAATTCAACTGCAATATACAAATTTATCCAAATTTGCTCATAAAATTAAATTAATTCAAAATTATTATTTAGTACCGGTCACTACTTTATTGTATTAAACAAACTTATTTATCTTAAGTAATATAATATTCCATACACAGCTACTTTTATGTTTATTATTCTAGTGAAGTTGTTGACTCCAACATCCAAGATCTTGTTTTAATAAATGCTTTCACTGCTCCCGTTTCGGTGTACAATGTACATTTACAATTTTGTGATGTGTTTAAAATTTTTTTTCTTAAATTATGTCCATTATTTCGACAATAACATATATATAGTAAAAAACTTAGTAGTCAATTATATTTTTATTTCACAACACTTCAATCAGCTGATATCAATGTGTAGAATTAGATTTTAAGATAAACTCAAATATATAGTCATAGTATGATTAATAAAATTTTTGTGATTAAATAATTAATTCAATACTTATAAAAGCGGTAAGCAGTAGCTATTCTATTGAAATCAAAACATATACTTACATGAAACTTTCACAAGGGTATTCAAAAGTTTCTTTGACCTTTGAAAAATCTCACGTATTACTTAAACGAATATTGAACGTTATGTTTAGTCCGGTAAAGTTCTCAGAAAATACAATAAAGAATTTGTTTTGTCTAATCTAATAAGTTTTACTTTTGTACAATCTTCAATCTCGTTAAAAAGTTGAGTGTTTTGCTTTGGTTTACTTTATTTATCTGTATTCTGTTTTCAATGTTCAGGGTTGCCTGCAGTGACAATAACCAGCCTTTCTTACCACTATTCTTGCACATCAATACGTCAAGTAAATAATACAATATTCATTCGACGCTTATAGGAAAGTCGTGGATTCTCATGATGTTTTATATAATGGAAAATATTAATAAAGTAAATAAGTAGTAATATTACTTTTACAATGCCTAAAATATAACTGTCAAATTAATGTCATGTAATCACGAGTTGGTCTTGTCAATAAACTGTCAAATCTCAACCATCAGTGTCAACTGTCATCAGATTTGACATTTCTTAAACAAGTTCACTGAAGTTCGCTTAGAATTTCGAGTTTTACTCAAGTTTATTTATTAATGTTTTCATACTTTAGTTATCATTCATTTGCGTGGTAGCAATGATGAAGTCATCAGCTTAGTAGCGGGATAAGTGTTGTGCTTTGAATATCCTTAAACTGTTTTGGAAGCCGCCGCGATGTGGACAGACTTTATAGAATATTTAAATGACCCATTATTAGTGGTTAAGGTTCAAAACTTTTTTGGTGTCATTTATAAAACCATATCACATGAGGGCTCTGCTGAAATAACTAATTCAGAAAGGTTAAACAGAGAAAATGAAGGATTTGAATTAAAGCAGCATAAAAGAGTGCCCAGCAATATATCAAGTAGTTCGCAGTCCTCATATGACACGGACACCTCCGCTGAGAGTGCGGGCAGGGAGGAGGTGGTGTGTCACATCAACAACAAGTTTTGGTACTGGCTGTTTGTTGTGGGAACAGCACTTGGAGATGAAATATTCTATGTAACTTTCATACCATTTTGGTTTTGGAACATAGATGGAGCTGTAGGAAGGAGAGTAATCCTGGTCTGGACTATTGTTATGTATATAGGTAAATATAGTTTTATCACAGCAATTTTCAATGTAGACATTAAAATCAACCAAGTTTTACGATGGCCATTACTCTAAGAGGTAACTATTATAGTCAACCTTGACAGGTGTTTATGATGTGGTATGTTTTATGCAGACCAGTATTTAAAAGTTTATAGCTGTATGTGATTAGTACATTCTTATATAATATTTTTTTGTTTATTAGTTATAAATCTTAATTGCATTAACTGTGGTGTCTTTACACTAACCTATCAACCCTCTCTTATAAGGAAAGAAGGGGACAGAGATGAAGGGGAAATATCCACTTTCAGAGTTGTAGAAGGATACTTTTGTTTCCAGTGTGTCAAATCAAATGCTGTGCTGGATACTTGACATATTATTATTTCATATTTTGGGCTTATATCTCCTACATTCTCCATTTTTACCAAGTAATTCTTTTTATTTCCTTACCTTCTAATAAAATATGTCATTGCTAATGACTTATCACTTAATGCTTAACCAGTCATTTTTTATAATTGGTAAAGATATCTAATATACAAATTCCATATTGATAATTTATGTCTGTGCTGCTTATCTTAATATTGACGATTACTTGGATTTTAAATGACTAAGATTACAAGAGATTGTAGACTTAGTAACCGGCTGGCAAATGTTTATTTAGTTTTTAGTTATCTTGTGACTAGTTGAAGCTGAAGACCAGTTAAGTAGAGATTAATTGTACACTTATTGGCGTCATTAACGAAAATCTCTGTAATGCTCAGTGATTTTACCTTGGAATTAAAATGGCTAGATATCAACAGAGATTGCAGCCCACAAAATACTTATTAACTAAATTTAAATAAACAGGTTCTCATTTTGTAAATTTTTTGCATATCTTTCATTGATAAATTATGCACAAGACAAAATAAATTATAATGTACCTCAAAGATTTTACTGGTATTCTCTTGGGCCTGTCACATTTGTTAGAATGCTTAATATTTTTTTGACCAACTTCTCAAAAGAAGGAGATATTCAATTTGTCTGTATGTTTTTTTTATTATAATTTTTACAGATATACATCCATTCTTTTGTTAGTAAAGTTGATTTAGTCTAAATTAGAATTGTACATATAAATTAAATTAATTGTAATTCTATTAGTACACATGGGCATTTACCCAGTGCTGATAGACGGGGCTGTAATGCTGATAATGTTTGTATAGATGTGAATTGAGATAAGTTGAGAGGACAACAGTACATTCACATTTGATATCTTGATACAGCAGTAGTGTCATCTTAAACAATGTTTTATGATATAAAAATAGAGAAATATTGAACACAAGCTGTTGCCCGCGACTTCGTACGCGTGGTATTAGAAAACATACAAACTATAAAAATTACAAAAAGCTACGTATCCCTCGGGAACCGGACATTTCTCGGGGATGAAGCTTATCCCATGTGTACTCGAGACTTTGTTTTATATCTGTGCCAAATTTCAATAAGATATGTTGAAGCGTTGCAGAATGATTGAGTAAACATTAAAAAACTAAATTAATGAATCCCACGGGAACCGTAACTATTCCAGGGATAAAAAGTAGCCTATGTGTTCTTCCAGACTATGCTCTGAACCTGTGCCAAATTTCATGGAGATCCATTCAGCCGTTTAGGCTACAAAGGCTAACAAACATCCATCCATCCATCCATCCATCCATCCAACCATCCATCTATCCATCTATCCATCCATCCATCCATCCATCCATCTAAACTTTCGCATTTATAATATTAGTAAGATAGAGGTGAGAGAGAGAGAGAGAGTAATCAATTGTTATTTGTAGTATGGATTGGATTTTTATCAGATTTTTCTGTAGATGAGATGTCTTTCTTGTGTTAAAAAGTCCTTGTTTTGTTGTGGGGGTAGATTGAAAATAAGATGTTCCAAGGGTTATAGAATCTATGTATAAACATTGAGATACTGGTATGTTTAGTAAAATGATCATGCACTTGTACACGGAAAGCGCGCCTAATTCAAATCAGCGGACGTAGAGGTAATGTTTGTTATATCTTATATCAATATGTATGTATGTCAGTGATCAGTGATTGTGTGTAACATTTTTTAAAAGTTACAATTTCCTGAATAGTATTACGTAACTTATCACTCTATCTTTTAGTTTATGTTAATCTCATAGTATGTTTGTCCATTTTAATGTATTTACACTTGTCGTTATACTTTTTATTGTCTGATAACATCGGGTTTTTGTACCATTGAAATGGATTACATATTTTATCAGTTATTTTATTTGACATGCAAGCCAATAATGGCTTGGATAGATGACGTACGAATGTCGCACACTCACAATGATTGCAAATTTGCTTAATGAAAAGTTTAAAAGCCGGAAGCCATGGGTTACGCGGGCTTACCTTAACTCACCACTATGTCTAAGAGATGTTACATTAACTAACCAGTAGGTCAACTTGATTCTAGGTCAAGGTTCCAAGGATATAATCCGATGGCCGCGGCCCGGGTACCCGGTGCAGAAGCTGCAGCAGAAGTGGGCCGTAGAGTACGGGATGCCCTCCACGCACGCCATGGTCGGCGTCTCTATCCCGTTTTCCGTGCTGTTGTATACGATGGATCGGTACCGCTACCCGGCGCACTGGGGCCTCCTCATCGCCGTCGCCTGGTGCACACTCATCTGCGTGAGCAGGGTCTACCTCGGCATGCATAGTGTGCTGGTGAGTACCACCTAGTCACCTTTAAGGTGAAATTCGTCGCAACACGAGATCATCTGCATAGACATCCCGTCACTACGATAGCTGTCAATGTTATTGAGGATAATAATGATTAGTGCACCATTCTGGCGGGAGTTAAAGTTAAGTATGTGTTTCGAATTAGATTAATGTCCAATATTAGTAAGAGGTGCAAAAAGCGTAGCTACAGTGTTAGATTGACAAATAATGACTTTTGATCATTATTTTGTAGCGAAATATGAGTGGAGCTTGAGTAGTATGTGTCCCCTTGTGCAGGACATAGCGGGCGGGCTGGTGCTGGCGGGCGCGCTGCTGGTGCCGCTGATACCGCTGGTGGACTGGCTGGACGGCGTGCTGCTGACGGCGCCCTACGCGCCCGCGCTCGTGCTCGCCGTCTCCGTGCTGCTCGTCGTCTACCACCCGCACGCCGACAAGTGGACACCCACCAGGTGAGCGGCGCCTCGCCACATACAACCCCATGATGAGACAAATTAGTCTGCAAGAATATATGGTAAAAGGTAAATCTTATTAATATTCAATGAAGGTACATTTTTTGTTGAACTGGTATTTTAATGACATACACGTGTCGCGGCGTGCGGCGTGCGGCGTGCGGCGTGCGGGGGCGGGCGCGGGCGGCGCTGTGTCGCCTCACGTCACTTTATGTTGAAATCGTGAACAGTTATCGTATACTAAAGCGATAATTAAAACCAAATTCTATTTTCCTAAAGCTGGGTATAAAACTATTATTTAGTTTTATTGTCTTAAACTTAATAAAATCACAGCGATTAATCAATTTTGCACAGACAGTTATCTATTTGTTTATTAGCAATTAAATGTTCTTTCTTCATTATTAAACAATGCGCAACTCACTGCTACCTAATTGGTTATTAATAAGAAGAGGCGGAAGTTTAAGTTTAGGCATATCTTCTGTAAGTTAAAAACTTCGGAATTCTGCGTTTGTGTTTCAATTTTGTTAGCTATAATTACAAGTACTGAGGACGTAATATGAGTATCGTTGACATTTCCAGAGGCGACACGACGATGATAGTGAGCGTGTGCGCCGGCATCCTGACCGGGTCGTGGGTGAACTACCAGCTGGGCAACCTGGCGGGCAGCGCGGAGCGGCCGCCCTACCGCATCCTGTGGCCCGGCGCCGCCATGCTGGGCTGCGCCGCGCTGCGCACCGTGCTGGGCCTGTGCGGCCTGCTGGCCACGCGCGCGCTCGCCAAGTCCGCCTCCTACGCGCTCGTCTGCGCGCTGCTGCGCCGCGACCTGCGCACGCTGCGCGCCTCCGAGGACAGCCTGCACAACGCGCACAAGATCCTCGCCGAGCTCTGCCACAAGTACTTCACCTACGCCGTCATCGGCCTCAACACCACCTACGTCTTCCCCAACGTCTTCTACCTGCTGCGCATCAACCGCCCCACCTACTACACGGAGATATGAGCAGCTGCACCTCGCCACACACCACACACCACACATTCCGCTGCACTCGTAGCTTTATTTATTGTTATTTATTTACCAGCTTAACATAATAGAATAAATTTTATTACATGTTAATAAATATAAAAAATTTCGTCCTTAGACTTTCTTATACTGAACAGTTGTAATCGAACTAATCTCACAAAGTTGTTATTTCTCGCACAAGTTGAATATTCGCTTTGCAATTACAAATTGTATCTCATTCTCAAAAAAAAACTATTTCTTGTAGATGTTTGAACAATGTTATTTACATAAGGTCAAAATGTAATGTCGATACACTACATGTAGATCGATACGTCACAATTTACAAATGTATCTTGTACACTTACACTTAGAGCTCAAAGATATTAACGTCCTTTGTGTAAAAAATTGCAAATAAATTGTACATTTTATTCTGTATAAATCATAGTTTTAGCTGATGTATAAATTATTTCGTTATAGGAATAATACATTTTTGTGTTCACTTTAGAAACCATGTGGCCTTAAAATATGTAAAATTGTATTTAAAAACATTGAACGAATAAAACAAATAATTTATTAAAAATTGAACCGTATTTGATTTTCACCCAAAGTCTGACTTAAGTGTAGGACTAAGGGAAAATGGTTTTAAACGCTAGCCAATTTCTATTTATTTCCAGCCAATAGGCAATATGCACATGACGCCAAATTAGACGAATTTTCTTTCGTATACTTTTTTTTATTAAATACACACATCTATTGTTAGGAACAAAATTAGTACCGTGCTGTAGAGTTGGCGCAACTCTAGATTATCGTCATAAACGTCACGTCCCTAGCTGACAGCTGTCAATGTCACTAGAAGTATGGATAGATTGGCGCGCATCGAGAGTCTGGCGAGAAGTGTTGCTCTGAGTTTAAAGCGACAGTATCAATTAAATAAGTTGTCTAATACTATGTAGATTTTTTTAATATAAAATAATAGTAGCGAAATTGAGTTAATTAAAACAAGCCTTTTTTTAAATACCCTTTCCAACTACTAAAACGCTACGCTATTGGTCGAAGCAAGTGATTTATCTATTATGGCGACTCTGTTTTGTCAATACACAGTTTCACCGCTTAATCCACTATCTCCTTGCTTTCTTTCCTTATAAGAAAAAGATGGGAATATAATAGGTCTAAAATTAGACCTCCGGCACGCACACTCATCAGACTACGCGGAATTGCTTTCACTTTTTTCCTATCTTTTGTGTTGTCATGGTATTGCGTGTGGCGAGTCGGCACTACAATGCGAACATCTTAAGGTGGGCTCTACCACTCTTAAATAGTTATTTAAAGGGTATTTTGGCGAGTTCAAGACAAATAAAACAACAAAATGTAAATATCTATTTATATTGTTTGTCAAATAATGTTACATAAAATAAAAGTAATACATATTCACTTATCGGTAGATGCGATACATACTTAATAAGTTAAAATAAAACTGCGCAATAATTTTTCAAATGTAACAAATTTTAAACGATTTATTTACACGTGTTGTTTTTCGTAACATTAACTAGTTAGAGGCAGTTTATTAAAATACATAACTATAAAACCTAAGACAAACACTAGGCTAGGTAGTGGGACTGACTAACATTCCTCTTCGGCGGTACGGAAGAGTGAAATTGCACAGATAACGAGAAACAAATCAACTCTATAAGAGAAAAAGATTTCGACAATATCGGACCTTAATCACTGCTTTCTTAGAAAGTTAGGACAAAGCCGCAATTTATCTGACAAACTTAATACCAACGATGAACATTTTATTTCACCGGGTTAAATATTACACGAGTCTCTGCGCAGATCTTGTCCCATTCAGACGGGTAAAAATTGTTATTTACCGCATATACACTTTACTCATAAATATATAGGGCTCTAAGAGCAAGACGTGGCCCCTTTTCCGTTATTCCGCGCGCAAACCATTGACAATAACTATGTGTGACAGCTGACAGCTGACATCTGACAGTTGACATGAAAGGCGGCCGCTGTCAACTGTCACTGACATTCGCGCGTAAATAGACTTTTTACATATTTATCACTTAAACTGTATATGAGATATAATTCTAGCCACGAAAACAGTTTTGATATATAAATACGTCGTACATTTAACCTCTGATAGGGCGATGCTATCTGGCGAGCTCTACGCGCCGTGTGGCTGCGGCACTGCCCACTGGCAAAGTTATCAGCAGGTCAAACATAACTGTTAAACAATTCACTGATCGTTTCGAATTGTACAAAGATTATTGCAGGCTGACAATTACATAAATCAAAGATTAATATATCTATACAAATATAATAAACTATATGTCTCTATATCTGCTTGTATCGCGCGGGGCTGCAGGGGAGGGGGGGGGGGCTCACGCGACATTGATGAAGTTCGCGCTTTCCTTTAGCTTTTCAAACAAACTCTCCGTGTCGCTGTCAAACATCTGGAACAAAAGAATACGTTTATTAGTTATGTTGTATACAAAGTAGATATCGTTAACACGCAAATTACACAGGCCGTGTGTCTAATCATTATTTAAATCATTTGTTATGTGTGTCGATGACGTTGGGCGACGCGTCGTCACTCTGTCGCAAGTTTTCCTGCCGCGCCAATCTAACTACAACGCAGTTCTCAGAATGTACGAGTTGCGGTCAGCGGCGCTGGAACACTTTGACAACTGGCAGTCGCGTGCACGGCCAGTGTCCGTGTACTCGCCACTTTGTTCACTTATTACGATTCCAGAAACATCTTTGTTCATCTTGTATTGATCCACTTTCGTTATCGGAATGTTTTTATAAACAGTTTAGTTTACATCAATTCATAGAAAATTGTATGTATTGTAACACATGATGAAATATTGCGTTATTTTTTATGTATCAGTTGTACGTCGCCATCCACATAACCTTTTAACCTAAGCTAAATCACAACTACTTTTTGACAGATATCTTAGATTACTGTAGTTATCATTATGCGATTTCTTTTAATTTTTTTCTAAATTAAGTATTTACGACTTGAACCGTGCCGTTAAAACCTTACGGCGGCAAGCATTTTCGCAGGAAAATTTTCAAAGAATACATTTTTAAAGTATCGGCAGGACTAAGTGATGAAGGGGCGGTTCACTTGCGACGACAGACGCTCGGGCTCGGAGTCAACCTCGAGTCCTATACACTTATGCACGTGTATGAATGTACTCACATCGTCTCCGTCATCGTCGGAGTCGCTGATGTCGCTGTCGGTGTCGGAGTGGTCGGCGGGCGGCGGCAGCGCGGCGAAGGCGGCGCGCGCGGCGGTGCGGGCGGCCATGGCGCGCGGCGTGCGGCCGGCCATGCTGCGCGCGCGGGCCGAGGCGCCGCGCTGCAGCAGCGCGCCGCACAGCCGCGCGTCCCCGCGCCGCGCCGCTATGTGCAGCGCCGTCCAGCCCGCCAGTCCCTCCTGCAAATGAACAAACCACACTTAGCTACGTCGTCGCATACCAGCCGGTTAAATGGCGAGAACAGTTATACCGTAAACCAGGAGTTTAGGGGAAACGAAAGGTAATTTCAGAGCAAATTGTATGATAGTGTTTACAAACGACTGTTTAGCTATCTTATCTTTAATCTTGCTCTCTGTTACTTTGGTATTTACACAAATTAAGTTATTGCACATTGTTAAAATCTTTGTACGTCAGCGATGACCGTAGCACTTTTTGTTTAGTGCGGCTGCTGGTGCATAGAGGACTTTAAAACGATCACAGTAGAGTGTATGTTGCGAGGGTCGTCAGAGCCGATTGTTAGCGAACAAACGGAGAGAAAAAACCCGCCAGCTATCAGTACGAGGTATTATCAGCTGATTAGAGAGACGGGTTTCCCTGCGGGGCTTTTATTTGTATCGGCGAGGTGCGCTCCGCGTCACGTACGGTCGCACCTTCTCATTTATAATGATTTGATACAAAATAAAAAGGGGAAGTTTGACATTATGATATTCGTTCTTTGGTTTGACGCAGAAACTTGAAGTGACGTAATCATTCTGCGATGTGTTTACTTATGATGTCTATTGTAAAGTGAGATAGACATAACTAAGAGTTGTCTAGCTTAATTCAAAGTTTGAACATTAGTATAGTTGATTTACTAATAACAATCTTATTAAACTGATTATAAGAGGGCCTAAGAGCTAGAGGTCAGCGATCGCCAGTAGCAAGCTCTACGTGATCGGACGCATGCGAGCCTCGGAGCCCGACTGTCACTCAACTGGTTTCGCGGAATTTAATTACATACATTATACAGTATACTTTCAGTCTCAACTAGTATGATCGATAACTGACACATTAGTACAAGAGATCATCACAAATATAGCTGTGGTACGCTGTGGTAAGACCATTATCAGCTTTCTAAATTATTCTTTTTTATTGCATTAGATGGGGCTGTAGGAGCTTGTGTGTATCACGATGTGTTGGTACTGACCGTAGCATTGAGGTCTGCGCCGTAGTAGGCGAGCGTGTTGAGTGTGTCCACGTGTCCGGCGGCGGCCGCTAGGTGCACACACATCTGACCTGCAACAACAGACACACACCTTTAGTCAGAATACAATAAACGACAAGAATTACATAAAAAGGTAATTGTGTGTTTAATAAAATGAAACAAATTTGTTATACATATATCAACATATAAAACGTTTTATATCAACAGAGTTCAACAAAGCATTATGTATTGACGTCACACCGTGGGAGTTGAACCCTCGTGCTGATTGTTGGTCAAACAGCGGCCGAGCGAACCGGCGACCGTCAAGTACGTGACGTGCCATTGGCGGATCTTGTGACGTCACCCTCCTCCCGCTAGTGACAGGGACAACACGTGCACGGGGGGTGGGCAGGGGAGGGAGTTGCAGCAGTGACATACTATTACTGTCACCATAGTGTACAATTCATAATTAACACCATAGAGTTAGATGAAAAAGTGTCACCCTGAAATGGTATACTTGTTAGATCTCTTAATACTAAGTAAGCATATTGCGCGGCCAAAAGTCTGAGTCAACAGATAAAACAGTGACATACAAAAATATTGAGAACATTCTGTGCTCTGAAAATATAACACAGATGCTATTAACAGATCGTATGGTATATTCAGCGAGATATCTTGGGCCAAATGATGCAGCGAGCAATTGGTCATTTAAATATTTTAACATAGTTTGGGTCATGTTCAAATAAGCGAGAGAACAAGCTGTCGGCCGGGCTCGAGAAGTGTTGAGGTTCACCAACATGGAAATCCCAAATTAGCGAAACGTCCGCTGCCCCGGCGACGATGAAGAACATTCACAAATAATTTACAATGTACTATGTAATCATTTACTATGTAGTTATCGCTTTTATGAGTATACGGTCCCTTTGGCGGCTGTCTATGTAAATGTGACAGTTTTATTAAATGATGTCCTATAGAAGAGCCTGTATGCTATATCTCCGTACCATATCTTCATAGAACATTATGGTAGTTAGCGAGGCCCCCACGGAGGCGCGGCGGCGCGCGATCGCGATTGGCCTAGATCTCGAGCTATTTCCGAGCCGACAGAAATAAATGGGCGCACAGCGCGCTCCAAAATATCCGGGGAGGATTTTAAATCTCCCCAGAGTTATTTCTCGACGATTTATTCCGAGTGAGAGTGAGCAATGGCTTCATCTATCTAGGGTTAATCTTGCGTTGAAGGAGTATAAATTGTTCCACAAGCCACAAAGTATAACTTGATAACACGTAAATATTATACCGGCGCTAATAACTCACGTTTCTTTTACTAATCTTAGTTGTGGGTATCGTATAAGGCTGTATTCTTACAACCGCAATGTTACTTAAAAATTAGCATACATCTGGCAATCATGTTCGCATGCCTGACATATTTATAAAATTCCAATGTTAGACTACATTTTATTAAATTGAGATAACTGAATGTTTCAGAAATAAAGTACGAATAGTAAAGTCTCGTAATATAAACCGTAATACATGGAAACAACTCGTTACATTTAGTTCAATTTGTAGATTCACGCAGTTGTCGTGTAAAAAGTTTTAATTGAAAAGCGTAAAGTGAACGAGCGATAGCAGTGAATGAGATGTATGATAATGAAGAGTCGAGCCGCTCACCGCGACCGGAAAGACTGGTGGAATTATTTCTTGAAATAATCATAAAAATTCCGAGAAAACCTCAGTCAAATGATGTCGCATCGTTCAATAGATCCGGATTGCAGTTAACATTATCAAGACAAGTTGTAAACACAATAGTTAATGAACTGAACTGAATGGTGGAGGTCACCTCACAAGATAGGTTTAATAACTACGCATCATAAACGTATCGTAAAATTCATCTTGAAATGTTTTTGTTGGTTATAATCAAATCACGAAAGTTGGATATTATTTCACATTTTGGATTTTCTTGGCAGACATTTTGACCTGCAATAAACAATGTTTGCGAGATAGTCTCACAGAAATAGATTTTAAACGCCATTCTGTAATAAACCAATGTATTGTAAAGAATCGTTTATGTAGTTGTGTGATGTCGGTGGAATTTTATTAGCGGAGCAAGGGGCTGGGCGCGGGGCGAGGGGCACGGGGCACGGGGCGTGGAGCGTGCGGCGCGGGGCGCGGGGTCGGCGCGCCCGCTGGGGTTTTCCAAGCAATGCGGCGCGCGCGTCGACGTCTCTCGCCTTATAAGGCTAATGTCGATCGTATTTTCACTGTTTCCGTACAAAACATGTTGCGATCATTTGCGCGAGTGAGACACAAATGTTTAGAAGAGTGCGGCACGTCTGTACCTACTTTATTTATCGGTAGAAGTGCTCCTAGCCACGAAAATGATAATCGTCGACCGAAATGTCAATGCCATTAGTTACATATAGATATAAGCAAATGACGTAGGATGGGGCACTCGCGGCCAATGGGTTACAGTGTATGGAATTACTGCATAATTTGATTTAGTGCTGAGAATAGTAAGTAGCATTACAAAAATGGAGAGAAGCTTAAATATTCAACTAGTATTCAATAACGAGCAAATCATTGAATGCATTGATGAAATAAAACATGAGAATCGGTTCCATTTTTTATAAAGCCCAATGAACTTTTGCGTCGCCTGTCTTATCAACAAGTAATACCTCTTCTGTGCGAGGTGAGGCATTGCCTCGTCACGTGGTGTGCGCGAGGACATCGGGGAAGCAGATCGACACTCAACAGCGCCACTCGACAGGTGGAAAACCCCGTTTGTTTGACAATAAACGTTTACTGATAACGCCACCTTGCGCACGCGCAAACATTTCTTTGATAAATCGCGGATTAAAAAGCGTGTAGTTTAGTTTACTTAATTTAATTTTTTGGTACAAAAACCAAAAAAATAGGTAAAGAGAATCAACGTGGTTTATTTTCGCTTAAAATACGAAGTAAAGTTTCAGTTTCATTGTAGCAGTTTAGAGAGAAAGTTTTATATACATATAGGAGGTACCTAGGTGTATAATTAGTGCAGTAGTCCGGTAGTAAGTGAACGCGGCGCACGTCATCGGACCGTTGAACTATTGTTTGTGGGCAAAAACTAGACGCAACCACCTCACTACAATTACTGACGAATCACGACCCATACATGAAGCCATTGTGACCAGCGATAACAAATATAACGGAGAAAGTACAAAACAATATCCTATACGCTATGAAAGACAATATTTATCATGTTTTGCTTTAGACTTAGAGCAAAGTATTCATACATCCAATAGTCGAATCTTAAATCTGCAGTTTTTTTTTTATTTCAACGTTTATTATATAACACTTGTGTTGCATTCGTTTGCACACGTCTCGGCTACAGCGCGCTGCCAGTGCAAACGTCGACACGTCGCCGGAGCTAATCGCACGTGGAAATTCCTAAATAAACCACCTTGAAACGTTTCCTATATTGTACACGATTATACATTCGTTTACGTTACTCGTATAATCACACATCAACCGTGATTTTTATAAACCAAGACGTCATAAAACATACAAAAACCATGTAAAACCAACACGAAGAAAGTCAAATCTTATATATCAAATCAGCACGCTTATCTACGCTAGTTATCCAACATTTGCGATTTTGATGTAACGTAGCAAAAAAGTTAAGATTGGTTAAGTTTTGGTGTATATGTAGTAACATAAAAACCGTGCATCTCGCATCAATTATTAGATGGTTGGATATTGATGTATTAAATAGATGTCTTTAAAATAACGTTTGAAACCGGATTTAATTTGGATTTCCATTGCGGTCATCAAAGTGTCTTTACGTACCAGTTTTTTACTGCTACGAAGAACAAATACCTATTTGTAATTTGGCACAGGGCCCGTGCCACGTCAATAAACTATAAATATTGACAACCTTTATAATTTTATGTAAAATACATATAAACTAACAGAACACAAGTCGTTGTATTAACATTGTTTCAACTTAGTGTCTCGAAGAAGTAAACATAAATACAATGTTGTGGGGAAACACAATTTGCATACACGGAAAGAGGGACTCGTTTAAAATTATAATTAGTTATATGTACGTAAAGATTTAGTTGATGTCGATTCAATATAAAAAAAACATCGGACAAAAACTATGACATTGTAATGTCAAGCGACGAGCTATGCGTGATACAAGTACTTGAAACGATAGAGATTCAAAATTAATAAAATTAAATGAGAGATGAGTAGTGAAGCTAACAAATATCTCTAAGTATTATTAAAGCAAGATAGATGTTACGTTGGAAAGTAAGCGGCGCGGTACAATGGCGTACTTGCCGCGGCGGCTGCGGCGGCTGAGCGCACTTTCACGTGGGTATAACCCAAAAGGTTCGCGTGGTCATCATTTCTTACAAAACAGCGTTCACTGGCTGTTTGTAGCAGTGGACGCTCTTTGCGGTTTTCCTTTAATCGTCATTTGGAATTTTGTAGCGTTATAGCGTCACCGTAAAGGTAATCCCTCAATGTTACCTCGAAAGATATCAACCGGAAATTGTTAAAAGGTCGCTGGTACGACTAAGTATTCGCCGTAGTAACTATGTCGCTAAATATGGACAGTTTCAAATTATGGGTGGAAGCAATTATTAGATTAATTACTTCCCGTTCCATAATCGAGAAACAAAATATACTGTGTGTCCAGGCTCCTATGTGTATAAACTTAATTTTTTCCCTGAAGAAATATTAAAGTGCATTCCAAATGATAGGTACATTTTACATTTTTCTGGTCCTATCTAGTTAATTAATATCCAAGCGGCATCACAGTTACATAATCAAGGTATGCGACAGCCAAAATTTGGTTACGACGTAACGCAATTAGCGGGCGGTGTGCCGAGCTGGGCCGGGTTGGGGTATCCCAGCGCCGCTTTCACTTCTGCTCACCGCCAACACGGGAATACCCACCGGTGCTGCTGGCGGCGGCAGATGGCAGGGGAATTCTTTACTTCCTGTTGTTGTGCCGAGCTGATGTGGACTTTTGAAACACACAAACTTGTGTATCACATAGGCTATATTTTTTATTATTTCGTCATCTACTAAAAACGTTCAACATTAACTGAAATTACAACGGACAATAATAATAAAACGGTCATGTGTAATTTTTTATGGAAAATAAGTGATAGCATTGAAATTTTAGTAAATAGTGTTAACGATGACCTTAAAAGACAGATGTAATTGAAACCGGTAGAGGGCGGGAGGGAGCCGCGCGGAGGCTGACGCTGGCGCGCGACTGGTTCTCGACAAGGTCAGGCTGGTGGGTAAAACCGAATGCAAATACGCGTTAAAGAGTCCGCGCTGCCGCTGAAATACACCGCTTGTATAACAGATGGAAAACCCGCGAGACTGTAGCGCGCGAGGAGACTAATAACATTTTAATGTTATACATTTCGCGAGGCACTCTTCGCACACAAGTAGGTCGCGCTCCAACGTGAAGGAAATCTTTTAAAATTAAGGCTAATATACGACGTCCAAATAACGTGGGATGGATCGATTAATAATTAAATTCAGAACAACGCCGTCTCAGGAGTCGTAGGAGATGATGTTCAATGAATACATTTTATAATTCATTGCGTTTAACTGCACCATTGAGATGAAGGATGTTTATCTCACCACACGACATTATGTATAAACAATTAATGTTTTTTCTTACATAATTGCAACGCCTAGAGTTTACATGTACGGCTGTTCAATGAGTATTGCGTGAGGGGTCATTAAATCTGCGATTCACAGCAGCACATCCGTACGCGCGTCACAATTTACAAACAGGTTTGATTCCGGAATACTAGGATTCAATTCATTAAATGATAATAGATCCGTATTTTTTTCTACAATCCACTACGTAGTGGTCCCACTCTCCTCGTGTCAATGGCTTGCGATGGTTTACGAAGGTGAACTGGGTTTGCTCACATCCGTTACTTAACTCACTGTGCAAAAGGCGAATGGAAATTGTCTCGGCACTTCCGGGATGTGACAGCAAGGTCGTGGCGGTCGGGAAGTCGATCCTATGATCGCAAACAAACGATGCCGCGGAACAACATCGATTAGCTTTTTGTGTCGTATTAAATGTCATCGCTGACAACAATATCGACCAGAATTGATTTTATATACCTTTCACTTATTAGTAATTCTAATGCTTGTAGACAATTTATTTCATTGATTTGTAGTATCATTAAATACAAAATACGATAGAACTGAGTGGTCTATGTATCTTGTCATAGCGTATCATCTTAGACGTAATATGGTGACCAGTTTTCCTGATGTATGCAGAGGTCAGAGCGCCGTATCATAATTGTGATTGCGGCGCATAAATGTAAATAAAGGATTAGGTGCAGTGAGTAAGCTTTCGCGGTTTGAGTGATGTCATTGCACCGGGCGAGGGCCTTGGGGGTTTCGCGAGCCTCCAGATATGGAATACGCTAAGGGTTTTTCTTGTGACCTTTACGCTGTCCGCTAACGGTTACTTCCACTAGTTATATTACACATCAATATTTGTGCTGGCATTAGAAGAACTTCCTTGTTTGTGCGTTGCACGTTGGTAAATATTTTTATTGTATATCGTTTTATTTGCAGTTAATACAATACTATCCATGAGTTCCGAAGTTATTGAAGTTAAGAAAATAAGAGAAAAACCTCAAAAGACGGCTTTTTATATGACAATATATTTTAAAATTTAATGTCTCAATCTAAACAGGATGTTAAACATATGAAACAGGTTATTTTCTTACAAAATTCAAACGTTAAAAATGGTTTTTCGCATACACTTGCTAATGTATAGTCGAGATGATTTTACATCGACGTAACGTGGTAAAAAAAACAATGTCCGAAACACACATATAGTGTATTGTTAGCATTTTTATTGGAATATGAAAAACATCGGTTCAATTTGTTTAACTCGATTTTCCCCAACCTGCCTTTTGTAATTGTGGATTTCCAGTTACAATAACACTTGTAAACATGTATTTTGTAAAACAATTTTACGTATTTTGGTCGTATATATCCATAGTCATCGGACCTTGTATGACATTTTCATACGGTTAAATTATTGTATTACGTCACAAAACAAACGAGTAACGACTAACGGTTACGCAGATTTATGATGCTTTTTGCTTACGGAGTAACCCTGTATTACTCATTCAGTACCATAATTGGTCCAATTATACATTTCGGTATTTCACTAATCGGTACATTGCGACTTAAGTTATTTTTGGTACCGCTATCTGAAGATTCGATCAATCTTCAGTTGTCAATTTATCAATAAGACTTTAATCGATTATTTAAATTGAGCAATAAAATATAAAATCTATTTAAAGTGGCTTGAAACAACGCGATATCAGAGCGGTGCGGGGTGTGACGCCGACGCCTGCGCCTTATCAGAGGTCAATATTTTACGCAAAAACATCATTTAACCAATTAAATGTAACTCTGAAATTAAAGCTAAAAAGTACATATTTAATCGAATTAAATGATAGTTAAATGAACATATTTTTATTACTTTATATAATGTATCATTACGACGATCTACGACCAAAGTTATTATTTGTTAAGTTCAATATGTGAATCTGTGTATCTAAGTATAACTTTGGATATTAGTTACTTTGTACGAACATTTTATATTAGTTTTAAATGCAGACAATGTGGATGTAGCCTACTATTTACAACTTAAGGTAAATTGCCATAAAAACTTCTTATCTATGGGGACCGAATGTTACGAAATGATTAGACAAGCAGCCTTTTATCTAAAACATTTAGATAATAAATTTTACTAATATGTTTATCAAAATACTAACTGGAAATGTATTAAATAGGAGATTTCGATGTTTAACGAAATATCTGAAGACAATAAAGATTCGTTTTGGAGTGATAAGTTGGTAGCCACAAACAGGGTAGACCGTTTGCCGTACATCTGTCGGTCAGTCCGTCACCCTAGCACATTCGCCCATTCATCTCAGCCAACGACCGCAACACAAAACAATGGAAAACAAAAGGAAAACATAAAAACACCATTGAGGTTATTCCGTAGCGGATTGTTGTCGGGAAAACCCTGGTTTTTACGGAGCGATGCATCAGACGGCATTTTAGTAAGAAATTATATTTATTTCAAAACAACAATATAATTTTTGTATATTGCCGTTTTTCTACTTAACCAACTTCACTAAATACGAGAGGAAACATGGATGTGAAGTATTAAATGTGATTATGATAATTATCATGTATCTATGTGTATCAGAGTAATTACCCTGATTAAAAAAACAATCTACACACATTCACTACTACATACAATTAACATATTAACAAAAGCTGACACAGTATGCTATAACTTGAAAAAGAAACTTACCATTATAGTTTTTCTGATTGAGAACGGTGGACAACTTCCGATGCGGCTGCTCCTGCACAGGCGCTAGCAAAGCTTGGATACAGTCTTTATTGTTAGCGGCTACCGCGAGGTGCAACGGTGTGTCGCCATTGAAGTCTCTGACTGCCAGTGATGCTCCCGCAATCACCAACATTCTTGTGACCACTGCATTCCCACTCATAACTGCTAAATGTAATGCTGTGTGTCCGTAATCATTGGCCACATCTAGCCAAGATTTCTCTGGACAGACTCTGATGAGAGTACTGACTGATTTCTCGCAGCCGTGGACTGATGCAATGTGAAGTTGCCTGTCATTAAATGAATGCAATTAGGATGGTAGTACAACTTAATTTAATTGATAGATCACATTACAATTTGCCATATTTCTAATTACATTTTAGTGACATAAAATTGCATACATAAGTCGCTATAGTGACTAACCAGTATACAATTTCTACCTGAACCTCTATAGGTTCTTTGCCATCAATGAGAGCAACAAAACTGTGGCCAAGCAATAATATGATACACAAATATGTTAACATATTGAAATTATTTGTGTACAAAAAGATCTTATTGTTAATTATTGCTTTTAAACAAGTATTAGAAATATAAAGACAGCAGAAGTTGCTATTTTATTAAAGAAAACCCTTCTCTAAGAAGAACAGTTTATTAAATTAATCATAAAACTATAAAGTTGAATCACATATTTAAATAGAAAAGACTCCATGCAATTCTAATGAAGTAATGAAAATTAAAACATAGTCATGGGTTTTCTATAACTTCGAAATTATTAAAAAAGTGTTATTGTTGAGAAATTTACATTTCTCAGATAGCATGGAATAACCTGAAGATGCATAAAAATAAGCACATATAACTTAAAAATATTCTAACTCATTTTCACCTAACATTTTAGCAATACTACAATTAATATGGTTCTACTTGTCTAATAAATATTATAAAGTTATGAGAAAAGGGTTTTAGCAGAAATATTTTGAGATTTACGAGTTCAAGTTCTAGAAGTGTTTTTCTATGGTTAAGAATTTCGATTGGATTTTGATAAATTATATCTAGTAATAAGCAAATAGTAATACTATCATGAGTTGACATGAAACCATCTCATTATTTAAGTTAATAAGTAAAAAATCTATGAAATCTAAAAGTCCTACAAGATTCTTATAAGACCATTTTCATTTCTCTCTTGTTAGTATAAGAATACAAAACTAGAAATGTGACATTTTAAATTGTGTAAGAAAGCCTTAATTAACAGATCGTATTGTATAACAACAGGTTTAATATAGACTTTTATAAATTAATATTATATAAACTATAAGAATCATATAAGATATTATATTTACTACAGTTTAAACTAAATAAAGAGCTAGCATAACACGTTAAAAATAGAATGCGAAGAGCAACTTGTTTGTTATATTTCAAGGTCTTAAATGTAATTGTACTTCTAAAAGCTAGAATATATGACTTACGTGTCCCCATCATCGTCCTGCTCGAAAAGTATTTGGTAAGGTGGGTAGTCCAGGCTCCTTGAAGGTTCCACATTAATTCTCGGCACCTGCGTGTCCGTATCACTAATCTTAACATTAGAAAGACATTCTGATAAATCTAAACCACTGTCTAATTGTTCCTCCGAAAACTGACACACTTTTTCACTATCACAAACGGCTTCGACATCTATTTCTCCTGACAGCTGTTCACTTATTACTCCAGACAGATAGCCTGAATCTGTGTTTTTGTCTTCAAAGATTTTCGTTTCTTTTTTGGCACTCATTTTGGATATTTGATCACAACGTTACTTTACACTGAAATAATAATAATAAATTTACACTTGGCAATGGCACGAAGGCATGTTTAATAACTAAGTAATGTTTTGCTTGCAAACAACCGTGTTGGTTCAAAATCGCGTGCGCAATGAATGCGAATTGGCGAAGTAAAATGGACATTCAACAGAAACAGAAATGAACGTCATACGTCATAACAAGTCAGAAAATATCAGCCTCCCCCCTCTCAGTCCATGACGGCGTTGAGTTACAGATGATAAATGGAAATTCCCATAATCAAATAATCACACCGAAAGTTAATTTAATTTTCGATTTTTTTTTATAAATTAGGATATCCTTTAGAGATAAACGAATAACAAACATTGATTTGGTAAATAATTTTGTGCGCAAAATTATCATCTACTCAAGTGATTTTCTTAAGTTTTATTTTCAGATTTCTATAATGAGAGTAACGTGTCGAAATATAAGTAACGTAAAATCATAATACTTAGCGAAGTAGATTACTTTAGTAGCTGTTTCATTATTAATGATGTTATTTTGTAAATAACTTTATTAAAAATTTTGTCGGTTTTAATATTTTCGTGTATCCGAACACAAAATACTTCAAGTCAAAAATGTTTAAGCCAAACTGACAGCAGTCAGCAGAATCAGTATTAGGTATCAGTAATAGGTTATGTTTTTATTTTTATTTTGATTTTGCTTTAAAAATATCATTTTTGTTTTATTTTTTTTATTGAAACTCCTATTACAAAAATAATGTAAATCCTCGTGTTGATTCAATTATTTTAAACGATCAAGAAAACTGTTTAATAGAAAAGGATCGTAAATATTGTTTTGGCGGGAATATTTCGTTAATTGTAATTTTTTGAAACAAAACTGTAGGTAAGGTATTACGTGTTTTTTTTTTTTGGTTTAAGAGTAAACTGTAGGTAACATTTGTTAGAAAAATAATATTGTGATGAAGGAGTACTTTGGGTTAAGTTCATAGTATCAAGACCAATAATAAAAAAATGATAGACGTAAGTAATGGTGAACGTAAGGTTCTACTTTCACAAATGTTATAGTAATCCATAATAAAATAAACAAATTTCAATGTATATGTTGAAGCTTTTTGTTTTATAGTCATCATATGACCTAGATTCACACTTTTACTTACAGAATGTTTGGAGAAAAAGTCATAGAATTGTTAAAGGAAGCTGAAAGGAATCGTGATACAATCGAGCAGTATAATGTAAGTTTCAAAATAAACTTTATTTGAATTCTTTATTTCTGAATTTTTCAATGACATGTATGTTATTTTTAGGATGACAAAGTGCGTCAGATTATCGAGGAGATGCATGTGCTGTTCAAAATGAACATGGCAGATGCGTGAGTAGTTTTCAATGCACATATAAATATACAAAGTGATTAGCTCAAAGTCGTAAGCACAATAATGATGGTGACAACCCTTTCAATAGTTTTTTTTTTCTTTAGAAGGAAATGTGACAGTGCATTGTATGTAAAATTATTGTAGTGTAGGGCAACACTATTGTCTACTATCATGGTGGTATGTTAGCAAGTAAATCCTATTTGTGCCACTAATGGGAGCATCAACATACTTATGGCAATGAGCATGGGCATTGACTTGCTGGCATGCTGCTATAAAAGTAGAAAACAGTGTTACCATACACTACCATACAGATAAGTAATAAAACAACAATCACTGAAATACTGTAAGTTTCCTGAAATTTCATTATATGTAAATTGAGCTAAAAGGGCATAGGGAATATTTTGTGGAATTTTCCTATGATGTTTTCACATAACACAGACAGAATGGGTAAGGATATCTGTAAGTAAAGTCAAGTTTGTGAAGTAAATCAATAGAAGTTTACTTAAATATGTCTTAATCAACCTTTAACTACACAGCATTACATTACAAAGTGATATATTACTTATTTTAAACTTTGTTTTATCCAAAACTATAATAAAACACACCTTGTTTTGTTCTAGAAATGCCTCATCGGAGAACAAATCTCTTTGGACAACTGTGCAAGTGAGACACTCTGCATTGGAACGTAATAAGCGATGTCTTTTAGCCTACCTTTATAACCGCATGAATAAAATAAGAACACTCCGCTGGGAGTTTGGTTCGGTGTTGCCATCTGATGTGAGAGAATTGCTCTCCGATAGTGAGTATGCTTGGTTCTCCAAGTACTCTACGAACCTCGCAGCGTATATGAGGTCGCTAGGACAAGATATTGGCTATAGCGGGATCGACCTCACAGAGAACCTCAGGCCTCCAAAGTCCTTGTACATTGAAGTCCTATGTCTGTCAGATTATGGAAAGCTGGAGTTGGAGGATGGAGACGTAATACTGTTGAAAAAGAACAGCAGACATTTCCTCCCGACGTCGGAGTGTCAGACTCTCATACGTCAAGGAATTTTGAAACAAATTACTTAGAATTGTACCTAGCATAAATTCTATTAAGCTTAAAAGCTTTAATATAGCAAAAATTAAGATGGATATCAATTAACGTTAACTGATCTCGTTTAGCACAGATGTAAAACACTTCTTTTTAATTCCATGTAGACGGCGTTGCCGGCGACAACTAGTGTTATATAAAAAAGAGCATGTTTCTATTGAATTTTAAAATTTGTTTTCCATTTGTTCAGAATTTATCATTTCATGGATAAAACATTATTTTGTGATTTCGTATTAATTATTGAGCACAGTATGAAATAACGATTTAAAATTGAATCTAAAAAACCCAGTGATTATGTTATTGTCCTATTAAAGTGGATTCATACGGTACATCGTGTTGTGGATTTCCCACGATAAGTGTGTTATGCTATGTTTTTTACGATAAATGTTAAGGAGGTTATCATTTAAACTATGATATCTACTTGTATTTTGAGTAAATATTATATTATATTACGAATAAAACAAACAATTATTTCGAATACTCTGAAATGCGACTGCGTGAAAAATATATATATGTATATTCAGGAAAAATAGAATATTTCCATTTTTTCTGAAATTCTGAAAAGCAAAAGCAATTGATCGCGGTCAATGAACTCAGCGGACTCTGTGTCGTGTAAAATGTGTTTAATATATATTCTTTTGGAAAATAAAATAATTACAGGAAGGATATAAATGATTGCTTTATTTTATAATATTAATTGGGGCAAATTGGAAAATCCTTGTATTGAAAAGAATTGATTACATACATATGTAGTATTTCCCTAACGACTGGTCTATTTCCGCCCAAATCTATGTAACGTTTTTGATACTTGTGATTCATACAGAAATTTACTGAATTAAGTAAAACACTCGTTTCTGTGTCACAGTGTATAATTATACAACTTATGAAATATTAAAATCAAGGAAAATATATAATTATGTGAGGAAGAAAGATTGATATAAAAAGTACACGGTGGGAAATTGTAATTTTAATTACTACATTTTTACATTAATAATTATTGTTAAAAAGTAAGAAAATCATTTTTAGCATATATTTAATTTCAATATTTCCTACTTATAAAATTCGTAGTATTATTTTGTATTTCAAGATTCTATGTAAATATAAAGTTTTATACGGATTATCAAGTACAGTTTGAACAAACCAATTATAAAAAGTTACCTTTAAAATGTTAAATGTTTGTTTTGCGATCAGTGTATGTACTTACAGTTCGTAATTGTAAACGTCCTTAGGAATTATTGATAAAATATAGTTAATATAAATCTTTGCACATATTAGCAAATACTGAGGCAATTCTTTATGTTTTGTTACCTAAAACTTTGAATTAAGTAACTGAGTTTTGATATACATTTTCCATTCTTTGTTATAACGTAAAAAATATATAGCGTAATAGCTGGCTGCGACGAAGATGTACATAACCGGTGTTTAATATATACGGAATTAATGAAATAAACTAAATAATGAGCGTCGAAGCGCAAGTTTGAGAATGTATCCGAGCAGCATCAAATACCGGACGTTACGGACGGTCGTTTACCCGGGAATCTCGGCCAACAGACTCGCCCCGGGTTTTTCCCGTTTTCTAACAATTCAACTTATAAAGGGTTTATATAAAAGGTACTTTTTGTAGACGTATTAACCTACATGTGTGTACTCTAAGGCTTATCTCAACCACAAATAAATTAGTTCTAATGTAATTGTAAGTATGAAGCATTATCTCTTTAACGAAAGAGGCCAGCAGCACGCAATAATAACGCACTGGTAAGGAACCTTAAACTCATTTGCCTCAATTTCAATGTCAAAATATCTTTGATGTGCTGTCAGGCGAGCAGATGAAGAAATGTTTGGAACAATTTCTGCCGCCTAGTTCCGTCATCGGACAACTCGACAGACCGAAAGGTACCACACCATCTCGATGGCTGGCAATCAACTTTGCGGTTTTCGCGGAACTTTCTGCCGCGCACAGCCACGTTGTGGAATGGTCTATTCTCGGCGGAATTTAGGAATACCTAAACCGCTACGACTTAGGGTCCTTCAAGAAGTGAGTATATCACCTTTTTAAAGGCCTGCAAAGCATCTGCAATTCCTCGTATTGCGGAGGTCCGTGGCCGTCGATGAACATCTCAGTTCCCGCTGCCCATTAGCTCCTTCAATTATAAAATGTGGTATCTGTTATCGGTTTAAATATGCGTAAGAGTTGTAAAAAATTACCAGATGAAGCGACGTAGACGACGTAACAATTATTCAGACTCTACAGCTGAGGTCTAGAACTATACATATTGTTGCATGTAATTGCATGTTATTGTTGGTTATTGTATAATATTGTGATGTATAATAGAGATTTGATTGCACTTATTTGTGATAAGTTCGCAATAGATAGAGCCGAGGTCGGATGTCGGTATGCGAGGATCACGTGAGGGAAAACCCGGAGACGGTACTGCGCCGCGCCCCTCCGCCCTTGTATACTACGCAGAATGTTACTAATGTTTACTAGTGAATAACATCGGATAATCCATACAAAACAATTATAAACAGTTATAAGAATTTAATAATATTTGTGTATGACTCATAAGTGGACGATGCGCCAAAAAGAGTAAATGAGACAATGAATAACAAATACATGATTTATATTTCAAAACAAAGACCGAGTGAACCACAATTTACTTTTGGTATTTACCAATGAAATTTTTGTGGAAATTTCTCACGCTCTATTTATTTGCCAACAAAATGTTAATTTCGGATGACGTGACGCATCCGTCGTGAACTTACAGAATCATGCTGTGATGGGAATTTACATATAAAAATAAACTAACGGAAAAGCTTCTTTTTGTTGAAAATATTTCAAATTAGTTAAGGAGTTAATGTGTTGGCACAATTGACTTTATGCGTAGAATAAAATCTTTCATTAGTTTAAAATCTTTTGACAAAACTAGTACTGACTTAACTTAACTAAAAAGAATATTGTCATTATTTGTCTCATGCGTTAAACCTGGACATATTTGGATAAAGCTTTGGCAGGATAGTGATAGTGCAAAAAAAAATCTTTGTTTAACCTCATGTTCTTATCACGATGTGCGAATATACCTCTACTTGTGGGAATACCTCTGAGTAAGGTAAGGGCGACTGCACTGGCCTGGCTGCAGAGTGCCTGCGGTCAATAAAACATAGCTGTTTATGATTCAATGTCATTATGTAATAGAAATAATGCAAGTATATGCAGTAATTACGTTACAGAAGTCTAGAATATGTTTCCTCGTAGGTATAATGACTCGTAGATGCGCTCAGTGATCTGTTCTGGCTTTACAAGTTTACGAGGCGCCCACAGCGGTTAATATAAATAGTTAAAATAATACTTAAGAAGCTCCACATTTTAGTTTTACATTACTCTACAGATATTTGTACATTCTTCGAATCTACTCATAAAAAGAAACTGCACGAAAATTAACTGGTGTGTGTTTTCGTGATCCTTTCTCTTACCAAAAAATATTAAAACGAACACGATTTGCAGTTTATTTTTTTAGACATGGCAAACGAGCAGGTGAAACGAGGTGATCAACGACGCCCATTGACATCCGCAATACCAAAAGGGCAAAGGCAGTACAGCGTTTGTACAGCGTTGTCCGCCTTTTAGAAAATGGTAGATAATATCAATCTGATGTGGAGATGGGTTTTAGTGAGTAATCTTGCTTCACTGGAAATGTGACAGTAGTCGAATTTCCCCATTACTCATCAGCGACAGCCACGAGACTATTAAATTGCTTGGAAAACATTGGCTAACCATACATGCGTTAAGATATGCAATATAAAAGTATAAAACAAAACAAACAAATTATTGAAATACGTCATATGTGACGTTCGTGCATTGTTTTTATGAGACTGTTTTAAATATAATTAGCATATAATAACAGTCAGTTATTAATTAAAACAGCGACTGTAGTTGAATTCTCGTCAAATTGTGATTATTTTCCGCTTTCCTGATAACTTCGGAGAAATCAAATGATTGGCTTTAATTTGTAAACAGGTGGACGTAAGTTCTCTAAAAATACTACATTTTGTTTCTAATTTTAGTTAAATTTTTGTATCATTAGGGATTTACTTTAAGAAGTCCAATAAACTCGGAGTTTATTTTATTTTATTTTAGGGTTTATGTTATTCACAGTGTAGGTTTTTTATTTATGTTTAAAGTTCATTAATAATCATACACTCAGTGCTGGTAGTTGGGAACAGAACGTCTATAGCCGGCTTTATTTTTTAAAACTGAAAACGTATTACAAAGATAATAAACCCATCGATCATTAGAAACATTGTAACAGTTATTTAATTTTATATTTCCTCAGAATTAAGTTACTCAAAAAAAGCGCAATCTGCGTTTCCCTCTGCCGATCTCCAAATCCACCTTTGCTCAAAACATTACAACTTTATTCCACCTTGCTTATATGTATATACCAAATTCTTGACCAGTCGAATACATAGCTAAATTCTTATGAATTTAAAAAATATCTCATACTGGCGGTTAAAACCAATTACGAACGAACAGAAAACCTATTAGCAATACCAAAATGAAACAAGCATAAAACTCCTTCACTCCAAGATGTGTTAACGCCCAATCATATATACCAACCACATACACTTAAACACACACGCATAACGCAATAAATTCATACATATAAACACACACATACCCAAACATGTATATGATCACATATATCATAATGTACTTAGATTGAGAGAAGGCCCTAAGCCCAGAAAGCAGAGTCCCAATGATTAATGTGCAACTGGTTTGATTAATAAAGTGTTGTATTTTATTTTTTATTTCAATTCAAATAAATCCTCAGTAGGATGTTCCTAACATCTCCGGAATGTCCTAATTTATCTAGCACTAACTAGTCGCAATGTTAACACCATCCTGTAGATTACTAGGAATCAGTTGTTATTTGTATGAGGAAAACCGGCCGGTTACAGATTACAATAAAATTATAATTAAATGTGCGCTGCAGTTCGTAGTATCTTATTTTCACGCTAATAGGTTTTAGAGTTGAAGAAGGTTGCGCCATTCACGTCTCTTCCCAATGCTGGAGCTCTTCCCAACTAATATGTTACCAAAAGACATCTGCATTAACATCAGTAGCTTAACTCTTTCTCAATTTTCATTAGTATTTATATCTAACTACTATGTTAAAATCATACTAATATTATACATGTGAAAGTTTAGATGGATGGATGATAAAGTTTGTAGCCTGAAGGGCTGAACGGATTTAGATGAAATTTGGCAAAGACGTAGAAGGTAGTCTGGAAGATCAAATGGGATACTCATTTTTTTTTAATTCCACGCGGACGAAGTCGCGGGCGAAAGTTAGTAAACCAATATAGAAGAGATTAATGCCTGTCAGTATCCATGATTTATTTTAAAATAAAGCAAGCTATGTCTGTGAAGTGTTCGTTGCGCTGTAGCGAGGGACGGCCACTTTGCGACTCGTAAAATTTTACGGCTTTGCTCTCGTTGCCTCGGGGCTTTGTGCAGTTCGCTATTTAAACGCGAAATGGTGTTATTATTTAGACGCTTTAGTATCGACACCGGAGATTTATTGCTGCGAATAAAACAATAGGCGTCTGATATTTAACTATTCCGACAAAATTCTATGGAGTAGCGTTACGTGAATTGTTGAATGGGTGGCTGCATGGTTAGTTAAAATAGATGATTAGGAATTTTAGAATACAGTCAGTTTTAATATAAATAACATAAATATTATAATAATGTTGAAGCGAACATTTCTTATTAAAATGTTGACACTATAAATGGATTTACCAAGTACGATAAACTACTGAAAATCAAAGGTTTTACCCACTGATTGTAATTGAACTTTATGCATAATGATGTAATTTTTTATTTACGATAATTTCACAACTGTTTCATAACAATTGTAACCGTTGGTTTTTACTGGAACAGTCAACCCC